TACTGAATCTAACGGTGAACCTCACTCAAACTGAGCGCCTTTTCCTGGGCGCAGGTAGACTATTTTAGGATTTCCCTGGTATCTGAGTTACGATATAGAAAACATCTGGAAAATTACGAATTAGATTTAGCAGGGTCTGTGAGTCACTGAAGGGCTACTCTTAAGAAAATGGAGTTATGGCCACTCAGTTTTTCGCGAAAACGTTGTGTTATAGTTTTGTGTAAGTAGTATTTTACCGTCACTGCAATAAAAGGGTACTATTTATTGCATACCGGAGCATCTTTATCGAGCTGGACATAAGCAGCTGGAAGATCAGGTTGGGTAGTATGATAACCCTTAGCATAATTAGGGTTGGCACAAAATTCCTCATAATTTATTCATATTTTTGTAGTGAGAAGTTATCATTCAGAGGGAGTGATTAATTCTCATCCTTTATCGAGTTAGGAATAAGAACTTGTGAAAAAAGCTTCAAGGTCAAGTCATACGAAGCTTTTCCTCAACAAACTTGTTAGCTTTTTGCTGTTTCGGCAAAGGAAGACCTTAAGGACGTGTTATCGCTTCGGAGGAATGCCAAGCGAAGCTTTAGCCTCCTTGTGCAGTACTTTGGCGAAGAGAGTGATAAACCGGAGGAATTTTTTGGAATCTTCGCAACATTCCTACGGCAATTTGAGGTATTCATCAATCTTAATGAATAACTGTACTCCTAAACTAGGTAGGACCCTAAGTGATTGTGATTGGTTTTGATCTTCACGATTTAAATTGTTTTTTTTTCCAGGATGTGTTGAAGACGTATAGATGAATGTGCAACGCTGAGTCACCAAGAAAATAAATTTAAATTCAAAGTAACAAAGTGCCCATTGAAAGGGCGTTTAGTTTCAGAACTGTTTATTGTATGTAAACAATCATTACTACATGCATATCTTCGAAAAATTTTACAAAATAAAGCAACTGCTTCTGTGCAGAAAAATTCATGGCAAATGCGTTTTTGGGTAAATAATTAAGTTGAATAAAGCTTGAATCTTCAAAGATTTTTTACAATGCTATAAAAAGCGAGTCTTTCATTGCGACAAAAATAACACAGCGACCACAATGAGCCACGAAACTCCTTTCCAGCAACGTCCAAAGAACGCAGAACCACATGTGAATTAAAAATTTGATCGACGCATTCCTCCTTTTAAACTACATATAATGATTTCAATCCTTGCCGCTTTCATCATAGGGGGTAATATTTAGCTTTGTAATTTTTTTTTTTCTCTCTCGATGAGTATAAACCTGATCAACACGTTGGAACGTAAAGGATGAGCGAAAATATAGCACTTCGGTGCCAAAGTCATGCAAAATAAATTATGGAGCTTTATTGTCACGAGCAAATGCTCGAGGCGAGATACAATACAGAGTCACCTCAGCTGCTGATTAACCAATTTCTCGCCAATATATTCAATATATATTCAATTTCTCGCCAATATATTCAAAACCCATCGCTCTGACGAAGGGCTAACGCTCGAAACGTCAGCTTTTTTACTCTTTACGGTGGCTAATTAACGTTTTCAACCCAGTTGTTAACACTAAATTACCTGCTATACTCTCCCACCGACGCAGCACCACAGTTTCTTTAGAAACTTACCCCTTTATTCAAAACTGTGATTCGTCAGCTCAAAAATGTATCAAAGGAGAACCAATCAGAGAGCTTTTTAGAGAGGTCAGGAAGTTAGAATCTAGAGCAACAAGCAATGGCAAGCTTGTGACTTCTACGTGCAATAGGTGAGATAGTTTTGATGTATAATTCGCACGTGCATTGTGGCCGTATATAACTTGGATAGCAATTCTGTTCCACTACCAAGAAGTTCCAGATCCTGCGTCACAGCAACTTTGTACGACTATTTCACCAATAAGCTTTGCGAGACTGTAAAGAAATGGCGCGCACTAAACAGACCGCTCGTAAATCAACCGGAGGAAAGGCTCCACGAAAGCAACTCGCAACAAAGGCAGCAAGGAAAAGTGCTCCAGCCACTGGCGGTGTTAAGAAACCTCATCGTTACAGGCCAGGAACAGTCGCACTCCGAGAAATTCGCCGCTACCAGAAGTCCACAGAACTTCTCATCCGCAAACTCCCCTTCCAAAGACTGATCCGTGAGATAGCGCAGGATTTCAAGACCGACTTGCGTTTTCAGAGTTCTGCCGTGTTGGCGTTACAAGAAGCGGCAGAAGCTTACTTGGTAGGATTGTTTGAGGACACTAACCTTTGCGCAATTCACGCCAAACGAGTCACCATTATGCCCAAAGACATTCAGCTTGCGAGACGTATTCGTGGAGAACGCGCTTAATTGAACATTCTTGGTACTTTTTCTTCACTTTTTGATTGAACCTGTTTTGATTTCATTTGCACATTTACTGTTACAAATTTATTCGAAGACACACATATACTGCAAGACGAGCAGATGTAACTTGAAACCGAGCAAAAACTTCATAATATAATCACAAATTTGTAACGTCTATGTACATAAAGCGTGTAAGATAGCGATGCAACTTCTAAAAATTCATCAGTGCTTAAGTTATTTGTACATAGAAGCATCTCGTTTGCGTTCATTTTATCCTTCTCATTGTATCAGACGAGTGTAATAAAACTATTGTCAATTAATTTTTCTGACTCGTTCAATATTAACTATAAAAAAAAATTGTCTGACGTGAATGGTTATCACCAGCCCGATTTGAGGACTAATAGGACAGTGTGCGCTTCATGCTTGTAATTGGACAGTAATAGGACAGTCAAGGGACAGTTAACACGTCATGCCTGTATAAGAAGACAGAACGCTTCATGTGCGCGCTCTGTTGTCTCGCATTTCTTCGAGTTAAATGTTTTTTATTGAAAACGTACGACCGATTTCTAGTTTCTACCTCAAATTCCATCACAGTTTCGATTAATTGATAACCGGACTTCGTGTCGTCCAATTGTCTGTAACTCGTGATTAACAAATCGGACGAAATCTTCACGATAATTAACTAGATTGCGCTATCTCTTTCCCTGATTTCCCTTGCTATCAAATCAAATAAATTAGAGGCGAAGCATTGAAAAATTAAAGGAAATTATGGAGAGGGCTACTAATTATCCAGGGATAGCTTTTTAACTATAGGACCGCCGTGCGATTTTACTTTCTCCGATCAAAAATCTTGGAACAAATAATTTTTTTGTTTGTAACAAACTTTAGCCCTAAGCGGTTCAGCCCTAATTCAAATCGAACTCTAGAGAAGCGCAAGATGTTTTTTTTATTTTGGTTTTCATTACATGTAAAGAATGTACGGGCACCATCATGTGAAATAGAAATATTCCAAACACTCGCACACATGCAGGTTACCTTGCATTTTACGATGTTAGCTTCTTTTCTTTAAATAAATAAATTACAGATATTAAACAAATTTCTTCAGAAATAAAATGATGTTCTCATGAGAACGATATGCCTAAATTAAAGCAGCTCGTGTTGACATGATTACGAGTACTCCTTGGCAAACTGGTAAAGATAATTCTTGGCTTTTCTCCGGAAATAACTGATCTGTAAAGCTTTCCAGTTTACGAAAAGACCCGTACACAAGAGCAGTGACTTGTCCATCTTCAATACTTTTAGTCGGAACATTTTGCAAACGTACAAGCGCCGTAATTAGAGACCACCAAGATTTCGTATGCCACCTGTTTTTAAGTCTGTTTACCGATGAAAATCGGCCTCCTCACAGCAGATGAACCGGTGGACTGTACATCGTTTCCACTGACATGCAGCTACCTTATGAAGTTCTAATACCCACGACTGACTAAGTCTGTTGAAAATAGAGAGAAATCAGGTATATCTGTTCCAAATCCTTAAAAAATAAAAAAATAAAAAAATAAAAAGAACCGACGAGAGAACTGGAAAAATTATGAAAACGAAAATAACGTTCTTACCTTTGTAGCTGTCTAATTCGTCTTTCTTTTTCTTGACGGCGGTTGGCGCCGTAGAAGACTGAGATTAAACAAAAATAAAAGATGAGTGGAAAGATGGGTAAAGAATAACTGAAAATAATAAAATCATAAGGGAGTGAAAAGGAGTATCACCAAGGGATGGAAAAAGGAAGGGCAGAAAAAGGAATAAGTGGAACCAAGTTGCTGTACCGTCCGCTTGGAAATACGTCTCAGTTAAACTTTTTACGTTTAATTATCTCTTGGTATGGCAATAAATACAATGTAAAGAAACTGACCAGGTTCATTACCTTTAAAACCGGATGAGGGATGCCCATAATGTCGCAAAGTCTATTTCTTATGACACGAAGTTCTTCAATCTTCGCATCCCTGAGAGAACAAGCATGTCAAGTAAAAGTCGTAATTAACTGTATGAGGCCAAACAGCTGAACAAGTTTACCAAAACTAACCTATCTATTTTCAGATCATGTCAGAGCGCAAGTAAAACTAACATAAAATCTGCATCTCTCACCATGAAGTTTCTGTCAGTATCGTTAACACTTCATCTAAATTTTCCGCCGGTATGATGTCATCATAGGTCAACACTGCTGAGTACAGGTGGTCAGCGGTAGTTTTACGAACCTTGCAAAAGAAGGGATACGTTGAACATAAATGAAGTATTGTACCGGCGTATTAAGGGTGGGGCCGACAACAATGCAGCTACGAAGTAAAACCTTAATCATCGAGAGACTTTCGCCCTATACTGTAAGTATGTACTACATACATACAATTGAGTGCATTGGATATTCACCGTTCTTGTATGCAGTTTAATCATGAAAATTCTTACCTGAGGGTATCTGTGACAAAGAAATATGGAAAGCTGTTGGAAAGCTTTCATTCTTGTCACCCCTGGAAACTGTAATAGGCCGCAAAACCTTGTTAAAAAAGAGGAAACATGTAATTAGCTAAGCTTTGTCCCAACATCATAAATCGAGAAAAAGCTTCCTATAGCTAGATTTTGTTTTAACTTAATGCTTGCGTGAAAATGAGAAGCATTTAGTTAAACAAATCAAATATAGGAGGGCAGACGTCCTCGAAAGCGGTAAAAAGTACCTGTAAAAGACTCTCGCTATTTACGGCAATGTGTAGCGACAGTTTTTGTCTGAGTCAGTCTTAAAATGAGATTTTATGCGGCCGGCGTTAAGTTGGGCAGTGAGCTTACCACAGTGTCCCTTGATAGCCCAGCTTCGATAGCATCAGGTCTTCGCTAAATAATGACGGTTTAGCGACAAGAGATTTTACGACATTGTACAATGTCACAAATTTAAGGAAGGCCTAATACATAATGTTGCTTAAAAGCCGTGAACACTTGAACTAGCGACAACTTTAAAAGAGTTTTAATTCTTACACGCTGACACTCGTGATTAGCTTTCTAGCGTCGCCAATCTTGAAGATTTCCTTTTTGGTGAGGTCCAAAACAGCTGCAGAGAATGGATGGCTGCGATGGAAAAAATAAAAAGGATATCAAATAGCGAAAACGACTCAAAAAAGTCTAATCATTTTTAAGGTATGTGATCAAAAGCTTAACCTTTTCATATGAAGATCATTCAATTTTCAGTTTTCTAAAGATGAGATTTACATTCCCACAAAACGTAACATTGACATCGTTGGAGGAAAATTGCGAAGCTGTGTCACGATATTTTAAATCAGTGTTTTCATTCCCAAGGAGAACCTTTAGAGTGATTATTTGCCAGAGAATGCCAAATGATAGTCGAGAACAAAGGAATAAAAGAAACGAATAGATTAAGGATGGTAAGAATTAACACGGATGGCATATTACAAACTTCCATTGTTTGGTTGTACCTTTCATCCTGGGTGAACAGCTCGAAGCAGCCATTGGCAAACAGCATATCAAGCATCTTGAATAAGGGAACTA